CCCAAACCTCCTTAGACCGCCCCCCCCCCCGCTTCATATGTTCCTAATGGTTTTATTTTATGACGTAACAGGGGAAAGTAATGGTCATTCCTGGTTCTTAAGTGGAGGTTCAGTGGAACAGCTTGGGGTATCAAATATTAGTAGGTTATTAATGAAAAGAATGTTCATGCAATGAATGTGTCTTTGCACTTGACTTGGCAATGTATGCTTGCTTTAGATATTTTTCGTGCATGCATTTTTGTATCTAATTTGCAAACCCCTGGCACATCAATTTTCAGCCACTTTTTAGAAATCTTGATGGCTTGGCCTCCATGTGTTGGGTGTAGGTAGGGTATTCACAATCTTACCCCGGTAAATTAAGTGTGCTTAACTTTTAACATTATTTCCACTGTGATTAGAGAAACAGATGTTTTTCGAGCATGTTGATGAGGCATCATTTTTTAAAAACTTCTAAACCTGGTCTAGGGTTCAATAGTTTTTAGTAATATTGATACCATACTGTGTTTGATCTGTTGTTGCAGTTGAGCAACACTTAGCCTTTTTCTTCTTTTTTTTCTAAATTATTTTTTATTATTATTATTATTTTTTGTTTATTAACTCAAGGAATATACTCTGATTAACTTTTGTTTCACTAGAAAATGTCCTCTTGCAATATTTGACCACCATTTCTAAATCTCATACCACGCTAACATTTGACCACTGTTTCTAAATCTCATACCACACTAACCTTATCAGTAATTTTCAGAACTTTATGTTCCTTTATATATTTCTAAATTTTTCATGTGCAACCATTGGTACTGCCTCACAGCAGTTCCCTTGGAAATATGGGTGACATAGATTTTCATTTTAAATAGTAGTTGCTGAAATGGTCATGCTTTGGATATTTGATTTTTTTTCCTACTTATTCTTATTATTGTTGTTGTTGTTGTTTCTGTTCTTTTATCAAATATATTTGACTGTATACAAGTTAGTTTTTCTTATCGTCTTATCTAATATATTTGACTGTATTCAAGTTACTTTTTCTTGTTTATAAATTCATTTTTTTTATGGAATCGCCTCATTCGTTTTCTATGGAATCTCCTTATAAAATATTTTTGACTGTATGCAAGCTAGCTTTTCTTTTTTATTTATTCATCTTTTATGGAATTTTCTTTATGCATTGTTAATGTTCGATACAAAATTTTATGACAATGTGTTGCCTGGATCATTTATATGATGATATAATATTTAATGTCTGCAGGGGACTCGAGAATATCATCAGGATGCATGTTAAGAAGGTCAATTGCTCAGAGTGGGAGCAGATACCTGTTCCTAAAATGTAAGAGTGTGTTTGATGCAATTTCTATTGAGATATGATTAAAGTAACTAGATGCTTCTGAGCACTATCTTTTTTTTTTTTTTTTGTTTCAGCCATCCATAACTGTATACTCAATTTCATAAACGCATGCAAGTGTTTTGTCTGACCCAAATATTTCTTTTGTTTCGTTTTTTTCCCGTTGCTGGAGATATTTTGCTAATCTTACTCTTTGACATCATACATACAGCACCTCATTCTTTTACCCTTTGTGTGCTATCTGGTTATAATTAATGTACTCATTTGTTGTTTCTTCCAGTGTGAGGGCAATCGTTGCTTTAAATCTTCACAGTTATGCAAGTGGAAGAAATCCATGGGGTAGCCCAAAACCAGAGTATTTGGAAAAGGTATCACATATCTGTTCTCTGAGATTGTTTTTCCCACTAAACAATTTGTTCCATGGATTTTGTTATGTGCTATTTACTACCTGAAACTGCCGTATACTACCTCCATATGACACCTGCGATTCTATGACTTGGATTACATTTTGTTGAAAGGTTACAAGGTTAAAAAACTAACTAAAAGGGCTATTTTAGTCCTTTTGAAAATTGTAAAATGACAATTTTACCCCAGAATAAAAAAATTAAGCCATGCTTAGAGGGGACTTTCGGTCTTTTCTCAATAGTTTTTTTTTTTTTTTGGTTAATTCAAGGACCATTAAGGGCACTTTTATCTTTTTGGTTTGATAAATTATTTTTTTAAAGTAAAAAGCTATTAGCATGTGCGCGGTAAAAGCACCGGTGTGTTGGTGGTGCCTGTTTACTTTGGACTGCGTGATTAGCTTCTCCTGATGGCTGAAATTGCCATAATTTCATCATGTTATTATTAGATGTGCAACCATGTCCTTTCTCGATGATGCTTTGCATGTTAGCAAGGAGTGGTTTGTCACTAATGAGCTTCTTTTTTTTTTCTCCTCCCTAAAAAAATATTATCTGATTTTTTTTTTTAACTATTTCAACTTTGGTTTTTATTATTTTAATTTTTAATTTTTTTATTGATATTTTATAAAAACTTTATTTGTTTTTACTTTCATCATTTTATCTCAATTTGTCACATATTTATTTTTTAATTTTATCCTTATTCTTTTGGTTTTAGATTTTTTTTCCCTTGGCTCTTTAATATAAGTTTTACTGGTTTTTAATTTTATTCTCCAATTCAAAGTTATGGTATATAATTACTTACAATTTGGTTCTAATTCTTTTGATTTTTTATCCTTTTATTAAAGTTATTATTTCTTTCAATTTAACCCTCAAGTAAAAGACTTGTTGTTGCACTCTAATTTATCTTTTATTTTGATTTTAACTCAATATTTTAATTGCTAATTTTTTATCTTGAATCTTTTTGTTTATTTTTTTACGATTTCATCCTTCAACGTTTTATTTTGTTGGAGTTTTATTTTTGTAGTTTTTTCATAAATGGTGTTTTTGATATGATAACCATGAGTTTGAAAAATTAATAAAGGTTGACATTCTTTTCTTTTTTTATTATTTTTTTTTATTTCATCATTTATCATTTAAAAAAAACAATTGACTTTGTGTTTTTTTTTTTAATTTTTTTTCAATTAAGTTATCCTGACCTCATGATTTAAGATACGAATTTGACGGGTTAACATGAACTGACTCATTCTTTAATGTCCAAATTATATGTCTATCATACTAGCTCAAGTTGACTCATTGTTTTTTTTTTTTGTTATTTTTTGCTCTATTTTATCATTTTATATTTAATTGATTGACACCTGAACAACATTATTTTTCTTCTCCTTGATAAAAGTTTTCTTTTTTCCAGTTATTTTGATTTTTTTTTAATTTTTATTTGCTTGCTATCATTGCTTCTTCTTTTTTACCTTTCATATTCAAATAAAACTAGCTTATTTGACAGGTCAGGCTATAAACCAGGTCATTGGATTTTGTTTTTGAAAATATGTTTGTAATACAGTAATACTTTATAGAAAAAACAACATTGGTTTGTTGCTCTTGGATAAAGGTTTTTTTTTTTGTCCATTTATCTTGATTATTTTTTTTTAAATTTTTGTTTGCTTGCTATTATTGCTTTTTAATTTTTCTTTTGATTTAAATACAACTAGTTTATTTAGTTTGTTGAGACTATAACCTCAGTTATTAAAATTTTTTTAAGGATATATTTTCAACACCTAAATATTTTATAAAAAGAATAACATGTATCCACGACACAAAGCGCAGGACCATGCCCAGGAAAAGTTATATGACAGTAATGGAAAAAAAAAAAACAGAACAAAAAAGTAAGAAAGAAAAACACGTGCAAATCTACAATACATTGTGTCCTGAGAGATAGTGTTTTCTTGATCCCTTTTAACCTTTTTTTTATATTAATTTTTATTAGGTCACAAAAATTTGACATTTTTCATTTTTAAATTTTGAGGACTCTATTCCTAGAGACACAACAACATATCTTCACTAAAATGGCGATGCCGAGGCAACTGACTCAGAAGCCTTTGCTTATGTTATTCCCTGAACAGTTTAAGCTGTAACACCGATATTTCGGGACTCCCTCAAGAAATTTGGCCCTCAGAAAGGTTTGGCTACAACAAGCACAAGAAAACTTGTTCCATCAATGCCTGCCAGCCAGACAATCAGGCAACCAGCTCTCTTTATGATCGATCACACAGGTGCCAACCCAGCGTTGAATATGGAGTGGTTGAGAAATGCAGGTGAGTTCGGGTGAGAATGAACGCTCCATTAATTCTAGTTGTAGTGCAACCGAATATACAGAACTAATGGTGGGCAGTTTGAGGGAAGATTTCAGCAAAAAAATGAAAGTAACCGAGGATCATCGGCAGGAGGGATCCACACCAAACAATTACCACCATAAAGATCCGCTTTTAAACCACGACAACCCACGTCTACCACCAGTGGTAAGAGATCAGGAGGAGGAATTTAGTTTCGTATGCGCAAATCCTTCAGGACCCTTGATATCTGCAGAAGATATATTCCAAAATGGTATGATTAGGCCGACTTACACTTTATGCAACCGTGATGATCTCCTGTTTGCCGAGGATGTTAGAATTAAAGCAAAAACATCAACCCCATCAACTCCGTTAATGTTCATGGAAGAGCGCAGCGAAGCGGAGGGACCGTGCTGCGTGTGGTCAGGGGGGCACACAGTATCACGAAATCAACAGATATGCAAGAAGAAAAGCTTCACAAGGTTTTCAAAGCTAAGGAGATCCTTTTCGATATATAAAAAAAACGATCGCGCTTCAGTCCACTCAACCATCTCTCCCAGTTATTTCTGAAGGGTTATTATCTTTTTTATCGGTCATCAGCAAAATCTTGAAATTTAAGTTTGGAATTGTAACCATGAATGTTTTTGTTGAGGGAATTATAATTTGATCTTGGATCTATCCCTTCTCGTAATGTTGGATTTTTCTTCTCTGTCTAATGCCACTATCGACAATGAAAACTAATTCAATCGGGCAATACATATCCTTATCCCCAGCAATGTCAACTAATGCAAATGCAGAAAAACCATAAGTATCAAGGAAATTAACTCAGTTTTGAAGAATTACGATAGAGCCAGCCTTGGCATCAGGAAAACCAGCACAGAAAAAAGCAGCCTTGCTAACATCGATAATGAGAAAACACAGCACAAATCATTGTCCAAACCGGAAATTGAAATGGAATGTGGGGTGCTTTTGTAAACAAAACTTGACGAAACCTGAACCATCAATATACCAAATTAGTAACACCTCTTGAAGTTAAATAGCATCGGCAAAGAACTTCAAATGAGTTATAGCTAATTCAATAGCAAAGTTGGGATCGGATGAATGGCTAGAAGATTACAATATGCCATTAGTCATGGTTTGAGAACTTTGGTGATAGTAACTAAAAAGAGAGGATCTTGGTGCTTCATTAGATACAAAGAATTTTTGTTCCTAATTAAGTAACATCACCATGAACATCTCTCCTCTCGATAACCAGCGAATGCAACTATTAGCACCAGCTGAAGCCCACTACTGTCAGGGGAAATTAGCATTCTGACTTCCCTAAAAAGGAAGGATGCGGTGCCTACTGTGTGTGTGGAGGTTCGGGGTTTGCAGCACTGCTCTGTGGGGTATGATTGTCATGGGCTTGATCTCCAGTGATGTCTCCAGATCCTTCACTGGAAGTCCTTGAATGGCCACGTGCATCATCGATATGAGGTGAAGCTCCAACTATTTCAGCACTTGGTACAGGGTGAACTCTTGACTCAGCTCTATTAAGATGATGAGCTGATGGATCTGCCTTGTCAAAATGTTTTGCCAATTCAAGAACTCTCGAGTAAAAGGATCTTTCTCGATCCATGGTGTTCGAAGCAGGCCAATGAATGTAAAGGAACTTCGTGACATATATCAGAAGTGCAGACATGGAAGCAACTCCTGTGATGATGAAGAGGCCTCCGAAGCTGGATATACCAAGACCACCAGAGGTTAGCATGGCAGCTTGATCTAAGCAAGTGGCTTCGCCACCAAAGTTCCTTCGTTCAATTTCTTCCATTTTATCTTTGTCTTCTGTGACATTCAAGATTGCCCTTGAAATGTAAGGGACCAGTGGGGATCCAAGGGGAAATGCCTGGCATCAAAACAAAATCCCATTGATTATAATGACATCTGGTAAGATTTAATGGTCACTTGCAAGAATTGAGCAGTTCAGCTCTATGCTTAAGGAGCTAGCTAACGACTGCCAAACAAATATGCCTTGAAAATATGCTGAGGGATTGCCTGTGAGAGACAGACAGGGAGAGTGAGACTCACAAAGCCAAATCCATCGGTTTTGTAGGTTGGTCCTACCATTTGGAATTTGGAGCAATACTTTGCTAGAAAGCGTTTGATGTAGGGAATTTCAGCAAAGATAGCAGCTACACCATCATTGTAGATTCCATTAGACAATGCATCATGATACTCTTCTGGAGTGCTATATTCCCTCAACACGGTGTCACTGAAGTTCAATCGTTTTACGAGGAAGTCTTTCACAAAAGAATTCTTCTGGTGCCCTATAAAGTAACCATTCTTTCTAATCTCTTTGACATCAACAAATGTAGGCTGCAACCGCTTTACAGTCAAAATTGAGGCTAAGCTAGCAGTGTAACTCTGTGATATGATTAGCACCACAAAAATCCATATGATCAATACAAATCTTGTCCAGTTATTCACCACCTTCTCCCCTGAAAACATAAGTTTTGCTCTATAGTAACATGAACTTACTTGCAGTTGTCAGAAAATCAAGAAATGGAAAAATTAGTCTAATCAAGTTAAAAGAGAAATTACTATGTGCAAAGAAGAGGGTTGAAAAGGAGAACCACAACGTTGTGCCAAGTTGTTGAGCTGGTTTTCCCCTGAACACTTTGTTTTCACGGTGTTCGAGCACCCACACCACTAAGCCAGTGAAGATGAATGCTATTCCAGTTGTTAACCAAAGCTCCGGGCTTAGTGGCTTCAAGAAAATCCACATGTTTTCCCTCTCATAACGTTTTGTCAAAACTACCATTGTGATGCCTGATTCCGAAAAAGGCAACGTAAAATCAACATATGTTGAGCGATCGGCAGTTATTGTTATATCTCCCACCACAGCATCAAAATTCTGCAAGACAATTAATGAAAACAAGTTCATCTTTATCCAGAATTTCATTTTTGCATGCAGGAAAAAACTGAAGTAGCATAACACCAACCTTTAGTTTGATTTGGTCAAGAAGTTCATTGTAAGTCCCAGCACTCTCCTTATTTTTGTTGACGAAGGGAATGAACTCATACGGAAGGGGGAATGGTAATGCTTCAATCACGGAGACGAAAACATCTCGGGTGAAACCTGAAACAATAGGTTTATCACCTTCAGGATTCCATTCCACTTTGATAAACTCATGAAAACCAGTTCTCCGTGGAACCCCTATCCTCAAACTCTTTGGCTGCTGGGTTGTGTCTCCTGGCCAAATTGGCTCCTTCAGTCTGTTTTTGGAAGTTGAATATGCTATTTTACCTCTACTATGCAAGTTTCGTGAGAGTCCACTCTCTGGAGTCCAATATCCAAGGACTCTCTCTGCTTTTCCGATCAAATTGAGTACTTCAAATGCTGCAGGTACCCTTTCTCCACCAGCCAAATGGAAGTCCCCACTTAGGCCTTGAAATTTTGTGCTTAGTATGGAGCTTAGGAGTCTTGGCCCCGTTTCAGATTTTCCCAAGGCAGCGAAGTCAACTGTGCTTTCACTAGTATTCGGCTTTACGTATCTAGAATGGACAATACCAGCCTTTTCTACAGCCATTGCTAATGCCCAAACTGTATCATATGCCCACAAACCGAAAAGGTTTAATTCATTGATCTTACTTTGTGGTTTGCTTATGGTGAAATTCTTGCTCCATCTCGATTTAAAAGTTTCGAGTCTCTTTGAAGTTGGTATATGTGGCTTTATACCCAACACACCTAGCATTGAATCCATGACTTCAGAACGTAGAGGATCTAACAAGGTGGATAATCCAGCTGTCACGAGCCATGCATATCCTTCGCTCATCATTCCTGCATCCTTGGCAAGTAAGAACAACCTGGACCCAAGGGAGGATGACATATGCACTAGAAATATACTCTTCTGCATCGCCTTCAACTTGTTGAGCTCCCTCATGATTTGAGTGTCATTGAAATACAAGGGAATTCTACTTCCATAAGGGACTCGAGTGTCGATCTCTTGAAAGGCCTCTAACAAAAATGGAACCAAACCATTTCCATATTCGGTGTCTTCAAAGATTGGTACAATCTCCCGCCAACCATAGGCTTGGACAATGCTGGCTATTGCTTTCACTTGAGAAGAATCATCCTGAGCAGTCCGGACAAAATATTTGCTTTGAGTTGCAGAAAGAGTTGGGCTGGTGGCTGAGAAAGAAACAATCGGAACCTCTACTTTTCCTCCAAGCTCTGTTACAAACTTAGCTTGCGATGACTTTTGAGGTCCTATGATAGCATGCACTTGTTCATTCTTCATTAAATCCAGCACTGAATTTTAGAAGACTATGACTGAATTAGATACAAGAAATTAAAAGAAAAAAAGAAAAAAAAAAGATATTCAATCTCTAAAATAAGAATCACAATTTTCCACTCACAACAATAAATTCTTTATACGTTACTCATATTAACCAGTGCTTCTGTCACCATTAGCCGAAACTAAAACAGATTCTAGTCAACTAAGGTCAGATGATGCCGATTCCTCCATCACTACTAATGAATATATAACTCCATCGCTAATCTAGCCTTGACTGGTGCATAGCATTAATGAACTCCCAGCTAAATGGGGCTCTATTACCCCAGCTACAAGATCTTGTAGCCACTGTACAATTCTGCCATAGTAATCGGAAGAATACAACAGCGTGCCTGTGTGTGTGGTTTTGTTTGGCCACTGTTACTTTTCTGCCTCGAATAGACGTAAGCAGTTCAAGATAGGAAGCTGTGTTATGTACCGTGGGTTCGGAATTGAGTTTGAACCATCATGATTTCAGTTTCTAGTTACAAGTACCTTCTCTAAGAGCTTTACATGCACCTAGTCTCCACGGGCAATAAGAAAGGTTTGCAGTAGAGAACAGACAGATTAAGACCATAACACAGTCCAAAAACTCAGAGGTAACCAAAACAGATACAAAGCAGAATTGCACCATCATAATTAAACAGGTAAGCAATTAAACCTTGGTACCAGTAGGATCACAAGTTATATAGCCTTTAGATCTCAAACGAGCCAAATACCATATACAATTCAGTAGCATCTGAATCCCTTTTCATCAGCTTCTAAAGATTTTGGACTAAATAAAGAAGTTATATAGATAAGGACCCGATAATTTGATCAGTGGCAATAGTAGATGAAAAAGAAAATACAAGCTGAGAGTAGTGGAGGATCAAATAGCCGATCCTTTCACAAACAGCTTCAAAAGTGTATTTGTCAATTATTGATTTATTAGTTTGTTCTTGACTTTTGACTCAGTAAAACCACAAGTCAGTAACAGGGGATTAGGTTTGAAATTTGAAATGTTTTACAACAATCCAGCACTTCAATCAGAGAGATCAAGCCAGCAAAGATTCACGGGGGACTTGCATGAAACAAATAAACTTGGAGATGGGATTTTGGAGAAACGATAAAAAAAAAGGGCTTTTTTTCTTTTGTTGCCTTGCATACTTCTCTTGGGGAAAAACGAAGTGCCCTTTTTTAAAGCGCAATTCACCTTTTGACATTAGTCATTTAAACAGAAAGAAATATTTGCAACTATCATGCACTCCACAAGAGCTAAACAAGAGTCTGCCTTGTGCGTGTGAGGGAAAATTATGAGAAGTTACACATATACCTGAAGAAGTTGCAGCAACGACATCACTGCTGGAATCCCTAGTGAAAAGAGCGAGTCTCGTTTTAAAATCAGCATTAACAGCATAGAAATCGGAGACTGCCATGGATATGCAGCTCTCTGCCATTTCTCCAACTGTAGAGTTCAAATCAAGAACTACTCCTATTGGTATAATCTCCACTGCCATGATCACCATTTGCTTGGACCAGAGATTAACCAAGAGAAGGGTGAAAAAAGGCAGGGTGAATTTCTGCTTCGGAATTGCCATTTGTTCGTTAAAGAATAAAACAAGATCACATGTAGTTCTTGGCTAAGAGACCAAGCATATATAGGCTAGCTAGAATACATGTGTGCGTTTTCGCTGACATTTCTTCATGTTGAAATTTGGACTCGGTAGAAATGTTTTTTATATTCACCAATCGAATACAATTTGGCAATAATTAACTAAATCAAATGGAAGTATACTTGATGACAAGGACTCAACTAGTAAAGACTAGATGGACGCCTTGTACCATGCCATGTTTCTATCTTCCTTTCAAGCGTATTGGAATCAATTTATTATTCAAATTAAAAATGAAATTCCCATCTTATCCTCCGTGGTTAACTTTAAAATATTGAAAAAAAATGTACCTTTTACAAAAACAATTCCTTACTCAACCATTATCAAAATTGTTAATAATAATTTATTTATTCTTGTTTTTTTATTACTGATGAAAAATATATATTTTATCTTTTAGTCCTCTACATAGGAAGATTTTTGTGTTCGGAGTATGCATTTCATTCTTTTGGGCCTTTCTTTGCTACCTTCAATGTAGTATATATGGAAGCAGGAAAACTAAAAGCCAGACTCGACCAAGAGCCATAAACTTGAAAGGGTAATTATGTAATTTTGTGGTCGATGTATACATAAAATCATTAATAAGAGTTAATTAATTTTTTATAAGCCAAAAGCCATCAATTATTTTATTAGAAACACCATTTGGAGATAACTGATCAGAAGATCAGAAGAAGAACTACAAAGAGTTGAAGAACACATCGAAAACGTTGCAGAGAGATTTTCTAATGGATTAAAATCGTAGACTTTTGATAGTCAACTGTCCCCTCGAGCTATATTCCAATGTAGCACGTAGGAGACACGCATCAAAGCTGAAGCGATGGCTTGTGAGGTTTTATGTGCCATTGAGTTCTGAGCAAATTCCTCAACTTTTTTTTTTTTCCATTCAAAATTCTCAAACGTGTCCCCAACTTCCAGCAAGTAAACCGATGAGAGGCTGCCATCATCTTCTTGTTTTTTGTTTTGTACATGGGGTTTGAAAGAGCTCGAAGGAAGCACGCATCGAATGAGAGAAAGGGTCTGGGGAGTCTTTGGCTCCCAAAACTCTGAGAAAGAAGAGTAGAAGTTAAGAAACTTGACTTTCCGAATTTCAACTTTTTCTTAGCAATCCAGGTTTCTATATATATATATATAATTTCTTACTGCTTTTTTTTATATAAATAATTAACTTACAATGACAATAAAAAGGAATGCTTTTTTTTAGGAACGAAATCGAGTTTTATTCCATGAACTTAGAATCATCGGTAACCACTGTAAGAGTCTCCAGTGGATAATCCTCGATCCAAACTAGTTTATGAAGGACAACAGAGCCATAATGGCCTCCCTCCTGCCTTGAACATAAGAAGAAGGACTAAAAATTGATAGATAACATGACAATATCTTGGCTAAAAGCTCCAAATCTTTTTGAACATGAACTTAATTTACTGTTAATGGCCGATACCGCTGCTAAGTAGTCGATTTCCAACATAACATGAGGATATACCCAATATCCAAAGCCATCGTAAGAACTTCTGCAATTTCCACGCATATCCTATCCTGAATGGACAAATAGCTGAAACCTTAACTTGCCCACTATCACTTCTTGCAATCACTGATCCAGATCCTATTTTTACTTCGGCAAACACAGCAACTGTGTTGGTTATTATCACATTCTGCTGTGGAGGTATCCATGTTTGGGGATTAGAATTTGTTGTTGATGTGTTGAGTCTTCAAGATTTAGAATTGATCTCCATCTGATATTCCTGCAACAATTCACAATGGGGGCATAGATAGTTGTTATACCTGACCTAGGATTTAACTTATTTGAGGTTTAGATCATTGGATCAATTCCAAATCCACATGTCAATCCCGAAACAATATTATTTAGAATAATAAAAAAAAAACATTAGAATTGTGATTTTTTAGAGGCAAATTATGGATCTATCATAACAAAATCATATAAAAACCTAGTAAATTTGTTCATGGATCAAAGTGATAAAGCTAAACCTTAAAAGAAATCTGATCATACTACATGATTGGTCCAACAAAAAAAAATTATGATTTTATCCTGATCATTAAATCATGTTAAAATTTTATCAGAGGGTTCCACAGATCCAATTCTATATGAATGTCCATTAGCTATAACTAAGTAACTAAGTGAGGAAGGCCTTAAAATTAGGCTTGAATGATCTTGTTTAATTAGCAAATTCTATTATTTTTTTATTTTTATTTTTAATTATATATTTTCTTTTCTTTTCGATTTATTATTATGATTATTTTTCTATTTAAAGAGTTATAAACTTCTTGAAGAGCCAAAATACATTAGATAAAATTATTTAATATAAAATACAAATCGTTATTGAGATCTTTTTGGGCAATATTCTATATTTTTTTTATGCTTTTTTTTATTATTATAAAATTCAAGTGTGTCATCAGATTTTATTCAGGTTTGAGTTGGTCAGCTGAGTTATATGTTTGACAAAATCAATATTCTCTATATATATATAAAACTTGACGTGATTTGCAAGGGACGCCATCAAAATATTCTAAAGGTCATATTGCAAGTAACTCTATAATATTTAACTCTATAATAGAATTGGTTGATGTTGTCACTTGCAGAATCACGCCAAATTTATCCTTTTTAATTAATTTTTCTTACCTATTTTTCTTTTCCTTTTATTTTATTCCCTTTCCCCGATAAAAAAAAAACATAAAATTGAAACTCACAAACATATTTAAAAGTATAGGGATTGGTTATATAGTCTTATTAAACTACAGGGACTAAAGTGATTAACTAACTCTCTCGTTATGTCCTCCAGCTCTACGTAACAAGCCAAGCGAACCAAACAGACCCGCCTCTCTCGTGAACGCTCTCTAAAGGCCGTGTGGTTTAGGGTTTAAACGTCTCTACAACTACACTAGTCTGTGCCCAAAAATCCCCGAGAGCTACACAGCCATGGCGAGCACCAAAGTGCAGCGTATTATGACCCAACCCATTGTACGTCTGGTTACTTATTATTTTTGTTCTAGGGTTTTTGATAGTTTCTCTGTTTACTGATATTACCCTCTTTTTTTCCTTGTGAATTTCTGCTGCTTCAGAACTTGATTTTCAGGTTTCTTCAAAGTGTAAGTCACTGTTTGCCTCTTTTACTGGTTTTCTCTTCCACTTCTGCTTGTTTTTTGTTGGTTGTTAATGGGTTGTTGAGTTTTAAATCTATTTTTTCTTTTCTATTTTGTGGATGCAGAAAGCTCGCATTCAGATTTGGCTTTTTGAGCAGAAGGACTTGAGGATTGAAGGCCGAATCATTGTAAGTTTTGAATTGAACAAATATAAAGTTTATTTGGGTTGATTTGTTTTATGGATGACGCGCTGTTCTGTAGGAAAATGTATATATGCTTGTTTGTTTGTGCATTCCGCTTGGTATTTTTATGGTAAGGTTGCTACTGGCACCTCATGGGGCCGTTCTGGTTATTAACTGCTTAGAGAAGAGCGTATCTACATATGTGCTGGTTCATCTAATTTTATTTGAATTTAATGTGAATAGCTTTCACGATTAGTGGTAGAAATGGGTGGATAAAATTTTATAGGTTACATGAATAGATATTTACATTCTCAACTCTATTGTTCTTATTTTATTTGACATGCTGTGGAGCCTGCGTAATCTCAATCTTATAGGATTTATGCATCTGCATAATTGATACTTTACTATCATAAAATATTTTATTCATACTTACACCTTTTGAATTATCTCTCCTTGATTCCGTGGATAATAGTCTTCAATCTCCTCTCTTGGCATGTTGGGATGTAGGCATCTATAAGGAAAATTGAACTTAACTCATCACTGATGCACCTAATTTAATAAGTACCAGTACTATTGTTGATTAAGGTGTTGAGGCAGTTGTGACGCATAGACACGTCCCTTACTGTTGCTTAACTTGAAAGTGAAACACTTGAATTCAAAGGAGCTCCCAACTTCTGGTTTATTCAAATTATGGTTTTGCCAATAAGAACTAATTGTCAACAAACACCATGCTTCATTGGTTATCTTTTTGAATATGCCTAGTTAACTGGTTTATGCCTTAATAAAAATCGATGATGGCAAGGCAAAGCATTGGTAGGACAATTGTACTAGGGATGGCATCTAAAAGGTTCCTAGACCGACCAGTTGTCAGTTGTCACAGTTGCATATTTCTCTTAATACTCATCTTTTACCCAAATTCTTTTATTCTCCAACACCCACTTTATGAATTTCCCCAGTACATATATATTATCCCATGACCTATATGCATATCAAATGAAAACATTTTTTTCCCATCTCCCACACCCTTCCCACACATCCATGAAGAAAGAGATTTGAGACCAACACTCTTTATTTTACTATAAATAGAATTGGGCAGAAATCTGTAGTACTTCTAGGGTCTTGCATGGTGATAGGAGAGCCAAATTTGGTAGCATAATCATTTGGTTGAATTTCATATATACTCTCGATGACAATGTGTCACAATGCATTAGGTCTAGATGCAAGGGCCACAACCTTATTTCCTTCAAACAAATGTTCTTCTAAACTAGGTGTTGCATAACAAAACAGCTATCAAGGAACCAAATAATCTCTTCTCATCTTTGCTTTCTGTGACTGCCTAACTTGCTCAAATCATCTTGTGTCTGCTTAGCCACTACTACATAGATTTAGATAAGGATATGTAAGAAAGAGGAAAATGAGGATTGAGCACATCTCCCCACCCAGCCATGTGCTTGGAAACTTGGCCAAAGAAGCCCAATAGGTAACAGACATATACAATAGATTTCCATCAAGAACTTCTAGATTACTCTTTGGCCTTTACTGCGTTGTGTATCTGTCAAAAGATTGGGAAGAATTGCCATCTACCAAACACTGTTTATATATATGTTGTGGAAGTTTTTTCTAGATGTTGCTATATTAGCAGGTCATCTGGAAAAGCTTCTCTCTTTCCTAGTAGAAATGGTAATGTGTTGCCAACAAACTGCAGATAGCATACTATTAGTATAACCTCCTAATAAGATCTCCACTTTCTTTTAAATCATTTTACTTTTAAGAATCAACCTCATCAGCAAAAATGAAAGAGCATAAAAGGATTGACATTCTGGTTAGAGTCAACACTCTGACCCCATCTTTCAGTTTTCTTAATAGATTTTTCTTCCGTTTGCAGCTTTGAAATATCCTTGTGTTGTTATAGTCTACTTTAAATCGTTGAAATCTAGTTTTCTCCAATGTGCTTGTCTTCTTATTGGAAAAATCTTGTCAAACTAATTTTTCAAGAAGATACGGGTCTTAGGTACTCAGAACTGAACAAATCAGTTGATTCTCCTTGCAAACTCATTCTTTAAAAGCTCGAAACCTTTTGGAGGATTAGCTTCAAGATCCAGAGGAAATGATCATACATAGAGTCTATAATACATCAGGAGGATTAGCTTCAAGATCCAGAGGAAAGTGATCATACATTAGAAGCTCATTTAATTGGTCATTTATTTGAATGGAACTGCATTTTGTTTTTCACTCTTTTTTCATGTTTCTGTTCTATTTCTGTGAACATATTCATTTATGACTTTATCATATGTTTCTTCCTTGATCATATGTGAGTAATGACTTTGGTTAAGAGGCATTATATAAACATTGTTTGGGCATGGCACACAAACCAATATTGTAGTTTATAGAACATCTACTTATAATACTTAGACGTAATCAGATAAAAATCAATAGGCTCTTGCAAGTAGTTGAGTGGTTTTATGAACAAGTGGTGTTTGCTTTGAAACTGTGTAAGAGTCCATACTTTCAATTTTCCGAGTATCAATTGTATAGTATATGTGTTATGATTAGTAATGTTCTGTGTGGCCTTGCACAACTCCCTCTGAGGATGATATAGAAGCACATATTTTGGGACTACACATCTGTGCCTTAAGCTGGTTTCAGATTTTCAGGTGCTTCAGGCATTAACAAGTCCTTTAAAAGTAATCATCACCCATCCAATTCCCCATGTCAGATGTCTTTTGGATTTCTTGCTGAACAATAGAAGATGGAAAATGCCTACCTTTTAGTTTCCAAACACTTGTTCTCTGGGACTGGCATATACAAGCCTGGAGCATATCCATGGTCAGCTTTTATATTGCTTCGCTTCTGAGTCATTCTGGTGTTTTTATGGTTGGCAGGGGTTTGATGAGTACATGAATTTGGTTTTGGAAGATGCTGAAGAAGTCAATATCAAGAAAAAGAGCAGAAAGTCTTTAGGTAATTACATTCTTAATTTTTCAACTCTTCTATTATTTATGCGTGCTCTAAGATACATCTTCAACTCTTCTATTATTTATGCGTGCTCTGAGATACATCTTTTATGTTTGACAGGAAGGATTCTTCTTAAAGGAGACAATATTACTCTTATGATGAACACGTAAGCTGAACCAAAACTCCCTATGCCCCCCCCCCCCCCCCCTTCTTTTTTTCTTTCTTCCATATGTTCCTAATGGTTTTATTTTATGACATAACAGGGGAAAGTAATGGTCATTCCTGGTTCAAGTGGAGGTTCAGTGGAACAGCTTTGGGTATCAAATATTAGTAGGTTATTAATGACATGCAATGAATGTCTTTGCACTTAACTTGGCAATGTATGCTTTCTTTAGATATTTCTCGTGCATGAATTTTTGTATCTAATTTGCAAACCCCCTGGCATGTCAATTTTCAGCCACTCTTTAGAAATCTTGATGGCTTGGCCTCCATGTGATGGGTGTAGGTAGGGCATTCAGAATCTTACCCCGGTAAATCGCGTTGCTTGCTTGTTATGGTTCACAGGTTCAGATTGCAGGGGTTGCGTTTGCTTCTTATTTGTTTTTTTGGTCCTCCCTTCTGTACGAACCCAATATGGTCAACCACTATCTCTGCATTTACCACATAGTTTCAAATAGTAACGAACACTAAATAAATGGCATGCTGTTTTTATTGGATACCATGCCATTATGAGACCTCGCACAGTTTAATGTGGATTGTTGTAGTAACTTTTTGTTGTGGTCATCGTTCTTTTTTTCTTCTCAATTGGATTTTTTGTGGTTAAAGTGATGGTCAATTGCTTCTTATTTGCCAAGAAAGGCAAGATTGAAAGATAAAAGAACCAAAGTGGACGAAGCATGGAAAACAGGTGGCAATTTAAAAGTTTATGCAAAAATTTAAGTTTGGTCCTTTTCAATTTCTAAATTTTTGGTTCTTTTAGTTTTTTAAAATTTTATTTTATTTCAAAATTTTATTTATTTATTTTTTAATTCATGGTTTGAGAGAAAGAAAAGAGAGTAGTTGGATTTATGTTGAAGAGATAATATTGGTTGATACTGATTATGATTGATTTTGATGGTAATGAATTTTATTTGATAAAAAAAGTTTTATTTAAGTGTTTTTTTGTTCCTTTTCCTGTTTGAGATAGTAGATTTGGTCGAGTTTTTTTTTTTAATTATTATTGGTTTTTGAGTTTTATATAAAGCTTTTAATGGGTTTAAAAAGGTTTCTAAAGGTTATAAAGTGTTTTATATGTATTTCAAGTAAAAAAAAATGAGTTCAAAATTTATTTTTTAGATATAAAATGCCAATGGGCAAGGCTTTTTGGAGACCATCTGGTCTCATCGATCATGTTGTTCAAAAAAATTAAAAAACAATGAAGGCATCCACCTTTTAATATATAAAAAAAATCAGAGGCATGACCCATGTGCATGCATGACTTGTTTTGTTATGTTATGTTATATAGACTTGACCCATGTGCATGCATGACTTGTTTTGACTTGTTTTGTTATGTTATATAGATTAAAAAGTAATTTGAATTTTCTTTATTGAATACCATCGAAATTCCAAGATTTTTAAGAAATCAGAGCCCTTTTTTTCAATGATTTTATTGCATTGCTATATCTTTCGTAGATCTTTTGTTTGTTATTTAAATATTATTTAATTTTTTTCATGAAATCTTATAATATTGTTTTTTATAATATTAGTGGGTGCTCTATTTGTTACGGCCCTGGACTCACAATAAAAATATTTATTGCTGCCACAAAAAAAATACATTGCTAATGACCACATCTTTGGTTTGGTAATATTTTTTTCATCCTACTCGACTAGTCAATGAACTAGTTAGATCTGAGAATAAAATTTGAAAAACTAATTAAATAAAAAAAATAATTGAGAAAACTGAACTGAAAAAACTTAAATTAACTGATTAGAAAATTCAAAAAAAAAAAATTCAGTTTGGTTTTAGTTTCAAATGCCTGAAGCTGATTAAATTGGACTGAACCAAAGATAAAAGAGATAATGAATAATCTTTTCCTTCAAAGAGAGCCTTTGCTCAATTGATTCTTCAATGTTTCTGTACTCACAAAAGTAAAGACCCCCATATAATGGCTTCTGGGCTTACGGGCATGCTTTTGATGAACTCTTTTGCCTCTTCAAGGAGCATGAGTCATGCTCTGCCTGCCTAGCATATCAACCGGTTTCGCTTCTTGGTTTTATTAGTTTTCGAGAATCAAAAATGAAACTGAACTAAATAAAAAATAGTCAGTTTGAATCATTTTTAATTTTTAATTTTAAAAATATTTTGATTTGTAAAGACCCCCATATAATGGCATCTGGGCTTACGGGCACGCTTTTGATGAGCTCTTTTGCCTCCTCAAGGAGCATGAGTCCTGCTCTGCCTGCCCAACATATCAACCGGTTTTGCTTCTTGGTTTTATTAATTTTCAAACAACAAAAATTAAATTGAACTAAATAAAAAATAGTCAGTTTGAATCATTTTTAATTTTTAATTTTAAAAATATTTTGATTTGATTATTTGTTGTATGTGAAAACCAAACCAAACAAAACATGGTTACTCCTAATTGGATCTAGTTTGTGTGGGATTTCAACTAGAAGTGTAATCTAATAGGTAATAATAAGGAGGCATATAACTTGTATGAAAATAGCTCATGGACCGATAATTGCTTAAAATAATGGTATATTACTCATGGACCGATAATTGCTTAAAATAATGGGCTTACAGTTTATATTATAATCAAATACACTTACAGTTTTTTATTAACAAAAACCCTAGAAAATACCAAATTTATATACGAGTTCATGTTTTCATGTCAAAGAATTTCATTGTGGTTGTAATCAATTAAAAAATCATCCAATGAAAATAAATGCTTTAATCATGAGCTATTAAGTATCTTTTAATTTTCACATATGCCTCCGCAAGTTTTAAATTTCTGTGTTTATTAAAATACCAAAAAGATTTTAATACATCTTTATAAATCTAAAACTATAAGTTCAGAGATTTAGAAACAGTGTACGGATTTCAGATTATTAACTTTAAATTTATCGTGTAAATTTGAAGACAAGAACCCAAAACATGTGCCGCCTCCGTCGCTGCTTCGAAAGCTTGACCAGCACCAAATCTTTCAAGTGTGCTTTGGAAAATCCAGATCAGAAACTAACAAATGTTATATTGTGGTTAATAATGTGTTTGAAGATGATCTAAAGACCGAGACAACCTCTGTAACTCAACAAGAAGCTCCTCTTACATCTTTTGCAGTCATCAGCAATAACAGAGCCTTTTTCAGCCAGTCTGCCGCAAAAATGATCGAAACTCCAGCTCTGCAGGGAAAACAATCTATAGATTGCCTTAACACAATGTTAGGTAGGCGAGGCGCAAACTATGGCTGGAAAATGGAAGCTTCACTGCCCCACAAAATAAGATGTATGCTTCTCCAGCATCCCAGATTCTCAGACATCACTAAAATATAGAGCACCAATTTCGCTGGAATCTCTTCAGCAGAAAGCTTCTCCTGCAAAAAACGATGAATCTGCCCAACCATCTAAGAAGGCAAAAAGCTCCACATCATTGTTTGTTTAGGTCTTCATCTACAAACACTTATCTTACATTAGACTCATTACCCATCTAGGAATGGATGTTATTTTTTAAAATATTTTTTGCTTCAAAATATATTTAGACTTTTTTGAAAAAACATGGATGTACCGCATTGCTAAACAAGATCTAAGTAATCAAGGAATTAGAACGCCTAATTACAACTTTCATTCGACCATCCCAATCAAAATGTTGAAAACAGATGGGAAGCATTATCTTTACACATGGTCATTCAGAGTTTCCCAGCTAACATCAAACGATCAGTACTTTTCCCTCCTTTTCATTTCCCATCAATTTCATTTATCTCATAGTAGACTGATCCTCATTAGTATATTGATCCTCCTCTACACATTCGAGCCCAAAACGATTTACAATTGTTTTCTATAAATTAAATTGTTGTTTTCTGTCAATTCAATCAACTTTCTCAGCTGCGATGCCACAAGAATCTAACTTGTTGTCTTCATTGTTGTTCACAGGAACTCTGATATGGACACAGCACCACCAGAAACACGTGAAGCCCTTTTTTGCCACAAACTTTTTTCACTGTATAAATCATAAAACATGTGAAGCCCCATTAAATGGCTAAGTTATCAGCTAAGCTTTGACAACTACTGTCCAATGCTACATGTATCTAAATCACAGCTAAACTGAGTTTAAGAAACGTTTTGCTAGGTTTGTGTAGTAAACTGACCCTCCTTGGCTACGGAATTAGCTAAAATCTTGCACCTAATATCCGATACTACATGTATCGTGCTGTAAATATAAACATCATACAGTACTACTAATATATATATCTTGCTTTTTGTCTACCTCCTTGTATACTTTTTACTGCGATATTTGATTTTTTTGTGAAATGCTTTCTAAGCTCAGGTAAACAAGACACAGATTAATCATTATTTGTGCGGACTGTTGGTCTGGAATAACTAACCGCATGACTTCAACTACCTTTACAAAATGTTATTGCTTATTTTTGGATTCCTTTCCTTAAGCTGCACGCAAAACTTTTTTTCTTAAAAATGCTACATTTCCTCTTCCTGAAAACTTTCTCATGTTTGTGCAACACAATACCCGCTGTGAAGTACAGGTCTCAAACCTAGTACATCCTACACACTATACTCCCAGTTGGTCTAAATGTATACATGCTGCTTGATCAGTAATAAATGGAAAATGCACTCGTCTTGATTCTCAGCACTTCATTTTAGAAAGAGTTACATGTTGATTATCATAGAAATATTCCTTAGATATTATGCTGTGTATGGAGAGTGCTTTTTTTATTAGAAAGTAATATAATGTTATTTTTAAAATTTTATCTAATAATTTAAGTTTACATTAAGATGATTTTTGGCAGTTGCTTTATTCAATTTTCTAATTAATATAATAATATCAGATAGATTTAAATTAAGAACAACCTGTAATAGATTAAACCATTAAACATGAATAATCTAATCGTACAGAATATACCAATAGAGTTGTAGCTCACTAATATATATTCTTTTTCTTTAAACCATTAAACATGAATAATCTAATCATACAGAATATACCAATAGAGTTATAGCTCACTAATATATATTCTTTTTCTTTTTTTTTATATTCTGGATTTTGCAAGACGGTGCATTTTGACTCTCGATTTTGCTAAACAGTTGAAGTCTTGAGTATGAGTTGTAGGATAATATAATGGGTTCTCGAAATGCATATATACATAGTAAAAATAATAAATTTAGATTATTTAAGAATTTCAAAAATTCTGTAAAATAAATTTAGAGTTATTTAAAGTTTATATGTAGGTATAATAAATTTAAAGTTATTTAAGGTTTATATGTAAATTATCAAGAAATCCAATGTTTTCTTTTTAATTTAAATAATTACTTCAAAGTTTTGGTTGTTTCAAACTATAAGTTATTCACATAAACCACAACTAAAAAATCTCCTAAACTCTTTTAGAAAAGATGAATTACTATATATTTAAGTGATAATTCTTTTTTTGTGTTTAGGTATTACTATAATATATTGTTGTACTATAATGTAATGTGTAAAAAATAAGAGGCATGATATTCTATTTATATATAAATTTAAAAACTTTATAAATGATAAAATATTAATTTACCTCTTAAATAATATCAC